TTCATGCATTGGGAACTTTTCACCCCCCTGTCAGCAACAGTGGGGTATAGGTACTGCCACAGACATCGACAATGGGGCACTATTCCTCCCACTCTCACAAATGATGGGGCACTAGTCCTCTCACTGACACCAATGGTGGGGCACTATTCCTCCAACTGACACCAAAGATGGAGCACTATTCCTCCTACTGAGACCAATGATGGGGCACAATTCCTCCAACTGACACCAATGATGGGGCACTATTCCTCCAACTGACACCAATGATGGAGCACTATTCCCCCTACTGAGACCAATGATGGGGCACAATTCCTCCAACTGACACCAAGGATTTAGCACTATTCCTCCCCCTGACACCAAAGATAGGGCACTATTCCTCCAACTGATACCCAGGATGGGGCACTATTCCTTCCACTGATACCAATGATGGAGCACTATTCCTCTCACTGACACCAATGATGGGGCACTATTCCTCCAACTGATACCAAGGATGGAGCACTATTCCTCCACCTGACACCAATGATGGTGCAGAATTCCTCCCCCTAATACCAAAGATGGAACATTGTTTACTCCCACCAGGGAATTTTCTACTCCCACTGGCCACAGTCCAGCTCCCTTAAAGTTTGAAGAACAGTAAACCGGCCCTTTGTTTAGAACGTTTGGAGACCCCTGGTCTAGGGAAAAGTAAAGGAATTTCAAATTACCTGATCCTCTGTTCCCTTGGAAGATGGCACTCCGGCACGCTCCTGTGGTGTACTGTCACTGGGAATCAGGGGCAGACTGACAACTCATGGGGCCCCCGAACAATAGGGGATCATGGGGCCCCTGTGTCCTTGCCCAAACTCAAAAAAGCCTATGAAAAAGGTACCAGGGGCATCTCATGAGGCCCCCTACTGACCCCGGGCCCTCGGGCAGGGCCCGAGTTTCCAAATGGTCAGTCCGCCCCTGCTGGGCATCATCACATCCATGCAGAGCTATGGACCCTCCATTGGACTTGATGGTGTCATGACCTTAGACCACTGGAGCATGGAGGGGGAAGATGCTACAAGAACTGGTAGAGCAGTACAAAGGAGCAAATAATCGGGTGAGTAAATCTTTTTTTTTATGTCCCCTATACCTAAATAAGCAATTATCACTTGCTGAACCGTTTACTTTTTAAAGTTGGCAGAGTTGGGCGGTAAAGTCCAAATGAACTTTGAGTATAAATCAGCTAAATAGATGTGCGTTAATTGCACTGCAAATCCACGCTGGATGGAAGTGTAGAAATGTGCCATGCATAGAATGTCAAACCCACCTGAAGCTTCAAGTTAAATTAGCCAAATATTTATTAACACATTATACAATTTCTGTCCAATTTCTGCCCAATTTCCTTTAGATTTACCTTCAACTATGTATTGCAAGAGCCTGCCTAATTGGATATAATTGAAAGTGTTGTTAGGTTTGACTTCCTATTATATGGTTTTTGGTAAATCTAAACCAAAAATCTCAAGAAAATTGTATAATGTATGGCCAGCCAAAGTCACACAGGTCCTTTTCTTTAGAAAGCAGCCTTAGTAAAAAGGCTTAGTAAAAAAAAAAGCCTGTCCTCTGCCAGCATACACAGTAGGACCCGTGTGCTCTGTGGTGAAGCAATGGTCTCCCTGCTGGCCTATAGCTCTGAAATCAGCAAAGTCTATGCCCCCAGCTGATTGGAGGGCATACAGTATATTTCACAGTTTGCCTGGAGTTCTGCTTTAACCTGAAGGTCCAGTTAGCATTTAGTCCTCATCTGTTTATAAACACGTTTCTACATTTTCACCCAGCACAAATTTGTGGATTATGTGAATCTATTGGTCCAATGCAAATGGATTGCAGGGAATTGCAGTGAATCTCAGACACCTGAATATGCCACATTGGTTTAAATTGCACCAGTTTTGCCCAGTGTATGGTCATCAGAAGGACGAAGTTTGGACAACAGCACTTAATTTCTTTAACTTCCTTCATGCCTTCTCTTTATTATTGTCACTTGGGAATCTCATTTCACACTGCCTACTTCAGCTTCTCAGCCGATGTCCTCACAACATTAAAGTCATTTAGCTTCACTTTCCATCATATCCTTCAATAACATTATTGTAGAGCTCAGCAATCAATCTCTCTGGCACGTAAAACCAGTCCTGGCTTCCACTTACAATGTTCTTGTTCCCACTCTCATAACAAATTGTGAACCTTGGACTCTGCGCCATCTTAAAGGGATCCCGTAAGGAAAGAAAGATGGGACTTCCAGAACTGGTAGGGACTTTCAGCCTGATCCTTATTGTTCCTTATACCTGAACTGGTATATGGCTAATGAATTTACCCGATGAAGAGCTAAAGGCTCTTTCCCATGGTTAGCAGTGTCTACCGCCCTCTGATAAGGGTGGTGGATCACTTTTTCACCCCCTGGATGCCCATGTTAAAGGAGCCTTAAAGTGAATGTGCTATCAAGCCTAAAGAATATGTATTACTGCATGTTAACTAGCTGTTTAGTTGACTCTGTTTAGTTGACTTAAATATGAACTCGTGGATTAAAAATAAAAACACCCTTGCTGTGTACCCCCCATACTGTAAGGGTTAAATTAAGCCTGGAGGTAGAGGAATAGGTTGTAATACTTACCTTCTTCCTTGCCCTTGCCTCCACCAAGCTGAGGGACCAGTCCTCCAAAGCCTCCTTTCTTCAGCACTCACATGCTGACATCATCACGTACAATTCAGGACTAATAGTCCTGCATTGTATGAGAGGTCATTGAGGACCATCTATGACCTGGAGCACTGGAGAGAAAAGGAAAGCACTGGAAACCGGCTGGACTGAGGAATAAGGTAAGTATGCAGTTTATTCCTTTACTTAAAGACTTAAAATGGTTATAAAGGCTCAAGGTTTTTTTTACCTTGATGCATTCTATACATCAAGGTAAAACAAACCTGTGTGCAGCAGGCCCCCCAACTCCCCCCAATACTCACCTAAGCCCCCTCTCGATCTAACGCTGGCCACTGGAGTCTTGGCTGAGACAGAAGCGAGAGTCATTAGCTCCCACTGCTGTCAATCACAGTCCCAGAATACTGTGGGGATACCTTTTCCTTCTAGTCAAGCCTTGTCCCAGAATTCCATAACCGGAACATCTCCTTGCAGTCTAGCCTTGTCCCAGAATCCCATTACTGGACCTTTTCCTTCCAGTCTAGCCTTGTCCCAGAGTTCCGTGATTGGACCTTTTCCTTTTAGTCCAACTTTGTCCCTTGATGGGACCATTTCCTGCCAGTCTAGCCTTGTCTCAAAATACTGTGATTAGTCAATTTCGTTCAAGTATAGTCTTGTCCCAGAAACTCACAATTGGATGTTTTTCTTTCAGTCCCAGCTTTTCCCAGAATCACTTGATGGGACCATTTCTTTCCAGTCTAGCCTTGTCCCAAAATACTATGATTGGACCTTTTCCTTCCAGTCTATTCATTATAGACTTGTCCCAGAATCCCTTGATGGTGCTTGTTCAGTCTAGCTTTGTTCCAGAATCCTGTAATTGTTTTTTTTTTTTGCTTCCAGTCTCGCCCTGTCCAAGAATCCTATGATTGGACCAATTTCTTCCAGACTAGTCTTGCCCCAGAATCCCCTGACTTACCTTTTCCTTCCAGTCTAGCCTTGTTAGGGAGGCGCAGCAATATATTTATTGATGTAACCGTGTGAAAGTACAGCTCCCAGTTGTGTTCCATGATCTGTATTTTAATGTAGACTTTGTGCTCTTAGTATGGATAATTGATTACTTCCTGCACTTGTTTCTACTTTCATCAGCCCTGATCCCTAAGGTTTCTGTCTATGTATCTCTATCTGGTGTTTCAGCCTTTTAAAGCGTATTTAAACCCAAGAAGAAAAATATACAGTATACTGCGTTACAGAGATGTAACTAGACCCTTCAGGGCCCCAGTGCAAGAAACCATAAAGAGCCCCTTGACTACTGGGGCCCTTTCCATTGGTCCCAGGGCCCCTTCCATCGGTCCCAGTGACCTTTCCTCTTGTCCCGAGCCCTTTCTCAAAGCCCAGGACCCTTCCCACTGATCCCAAGGCTCTTTACTCCCTTTGCAGGCTCTTTACTCCCATTGCAGGCCCTTTACTTTCCTGTGACATGAGTGCCATAGACTGCAATGTTAAATCACAAAAGTGTTACTAAACCTACAACAGTACAATCAGTCTGTATATACAGTAAAGCATGCTTGTTATACTCACTGTGGAACCTAAGGGGTTAATCCTCTGCATTGTGTAAAAAGGCCGTTTGATTCTTTCTCCTCTGCCCTTCCTCTTGTTCAAATGTCCATATCTTATCTCCTGATAAGACAGACTGAACCCGTAGCCCTTCTGCACATGCTCAGTTTAGTGTGTATTGCTAGAGAGCTTTTTTTTTTTTTTTTGGGAGAGTGCATGTGATCAGCACAGGGTAATCAGCACTGTCCAGACAGAGGGTCAGGGGTTTTGCATCCTCCTAGAGCAGAAAGAAAACTCCTACAAGCTTTGACCAGTGGTCAGCTGAAGTCACAAGATTGGAAAAGGTATTTAGCAGTTTATATTTACTAAAATAATTGCATTTCCATGTTCTGTGTACTGTGGGAGACCAGATATAGTGAGTGCAGGGTCCGGGGAGAGCAGATATAGTGAATGCAGGGTCTGGGGAGACCAGATATAGGGAATGCAGGGTCCGGGGAGACCAGATATAGTGAGAGCAGGGTCCGGGGAGAGCGGATATAGTGAATGCAGGGTCTGGGGAGACCAGATATAGGGAATGCAGGGTCCGGGGAGACCAGATATAGTGAATACAGGGTCCGGGGAGACCGGATATAGTGAATGCAGGGTCCGGGGAGAGCAGATATAGTGAATGCAGGGTCCAGGGAGACCAGATATAGTGAATGCAGGGTTCGGGGAGACCGGATATAGTGAATGCAGGGTCCGGGGAGACCAGATATAGTGAATGCAGGGTCCGGGGAGACCAGATATAGTGAATGCAGGGTCCAGGGAGACCGGATATAGTGAATGCAGGGTCCGGGGAGACCAGATATAGTGAATGCAGGGTCCAGGGAGACCAGATATAGTGAATGCAGGGTCCGGGGAGACCAGATATAGTGAATGCAGGGTCCGGGGAGACCGGATATAGTGAATGCAGGGTCCGGGGAGACCGGATATAGTGAATGCAGGGTCCGGGGAGACCGGATATAGTGAATGCAGGGTCCGGGGAGAGCGGATATAGTGAATGCAGGGTCCGGGGACACCGGATATAGTGAATGCAGGGTCCGGGGAGACCAGATATAGTGAATGCAGGGTCCGGGGAGACCGGATATAGTAAATGCAGGGTCCGGGGAGACCGGATATAGTGAATTCAGGGTCCGGGGAGACCGGATATAGTGAATGCAGGGTCCGGGGAGACCAGATATAGTGAATGCAGGGTCCGGGGAGACCGGATATAGTGAATGCAGGGTCCGGGGAGACCAGATATAGTGAATGCAGGGTCCGGGGAGACTGGATATAGTGAATGCAGGGTCTGGGGAGACCAGATATAGTGAATGCAGGGTCCGGGGGGAGACCAGGTATAGTGAATGCAGGGTCCAGGGTTTAGCAAAACTTTAAACAAGTCGCAAGGAAGTCAAGGAAATTGCAAGTTGCAAATAAATCTCAAGCAATTCGGACTACTTTGGGGTTGTAGCAGTGTGAATTGAGCCCATTTTCTGCAGTGGGCCCCCTTCCTGCCGTATTGGGGACCCTCCACGGTGGCAGAACTCCAGGGCCCCGTCACAAGTGCGACCTTTACAGCCCTGGAAATTCCTCCACTGCATTGCAACCTATCAGTACTTTGTTGAGCCTGCTTTTTTCAGACTTTCCTTCCTTTATTTTCACCTGGTGATCCTACCAGTACCACCATCCTGTCCTAGGGAGACTTATTATCTACAGAGGAGCAGCATTTTCAGCCTAGACTTCTCGCTCCCCTTCAGGAGGGCATCTAAGGACTGATCAACTGCAATATACTGCATGACATTTTGTTTATGGGTTTAGATACATTTTGGCATTTGCGTTTGACTGCAGATCTTTCTGACATCAGTTTCTTTTGTCCCAGCTGAAGGTCACTACACATCTCCTGTCCATAGCCACTTACTGACTGCTGTTTGTTGTATACTATGATACACCAGCCCATCACTGGAACTCCTCCAGGACCCCCCATGATGGGTGCAGTAGTACTACTCGTACAGCCTTTACGGCTCACTTTTTCAGCCTTCTTCCTACAGGGGAAGTCATTACTATAGTGACTTATCTACTGTTTCTTCGACTTGCTCTACAGCTGATGCAAGAACCTATTATACAGCAATTGCCATTCCATCCATGGCATAAGTAGGCTGTTTATTATTTACTAGAGGAAGATCTGTTGGAGTGGGCTGAAGAGTTATTAAGCCATAACGCCTACCTTAGAGATGATCCACGACAGTTCAGAAGAGCTATAGGTTGCCTAAGGCTCTTACTCTACTTTTTTTTTTCTTAGGATATTTTTTGCTTCAGATTCTTAAAGGAAACTTTTCCCGACAAACTCAAAGAGGGTTATTCACTAAAACTGGAAAATCTGATGCAATTCTGCATAGAAACCAACCAGCTTCCAGGTTGTATTGCCAACGCTTAACCACTTCACTACCGAGCCAATTCTGACATTTCTCTTCTACATGTAAAAATCATAATTTTTTTGCTAGAAAATTAATTAGAACCCCCAAACATTATGTATTTTTATGCAGAGAATCTAGAGAATAAAATGGTGGATGTTACGTATTTTTATGCCACACGAGGGGTTTTTCAAACGCAGCAAAAAATTAGTTTTTAAACGTACAAAAACACAATATAATACCCCGATGTTTGTACAAAATAAAAGATGATGGTATGCCGAGTAAATAGATATCTAACATGTCACGCTTTAAAATTGCGTACGTCCATGGAATTGCGTATGCCCACACTTTACAGGTTACCAGTTTCGGATTACACAAGAGGGTTGGTGCTAGAACTAATGTTCTTGCTATACCGTTTGCAGTCATACCCCACATGTGTGGTGCAAACACTGCTAACATATGCGTGTTTGGCCTATGCATGCGTTCGTCTTTGTGCGCAAGCACAGGGGGATGTGGGCACTTTCAATTTTTTAAAATTCTATATTTTATTTTAGCACTGTTTATTTAATCACTTGCCTTCCGGAAGATTTACCCCTCCCCCCCTTCATGACCCGGCCATTTTTTGCTATACAGCCCTTCGCTACTGTAGCACTACCCCCTTAGGGATTGCTGGGTAATTTTTGGGTTCCACATCAATCTTGACCTCTCGTTGAAATCCCAACCTCTGCTGACACCACCATGCTCTGGTGACCCAGATAAATCACACCCATAAAAATGGACTCACACACATAGTGTAAACCAAAATGACGTTTATTTTGGATTTGGTACTATGGTATTGGCTGCAAATCTGATCACTCTTGGCAACTGTGAGCAAAACAACATTCACAATAAAACAGCAGTATTTGTTAGCAGGCCTGCTTTCAGAAATAATCCACTGCCTCCAGTCTGAGGGGACTGTTGAATCCCCAGTGAGCAGGAATGACTATCACTGACATATAAACTCAGTGTGGGTCCTTAGAACCAGATAGCAAAGATTAAATGTGATATAAAGAGAATTCTCCATTATAATTGTCAGTGTCCTCTCTATAATGTCTTCTCTGCGCCTGTTGGGGCCCAATTGGTGTGAAGTTGCATCAAGGGAGGGATGATAGTTCCTCAAGGTGGTCACATCAAAGATAGTGAGGGAAAAGAAGATTCAATACTTTCATGATTGATGGTAAAGAATAAGTACAAGGTTCCCTTTAAGAGCTCGAAGTAGTAAATAGTAACAATTGACATACATTTCTATGAACAAAGACAACTCCCTCTGAATGTCAAAGGCAAAAGGTGAACAGTAGTAGGAATCCTGCTCTGCAGAGAGGGAAATGGACTTGTTGATTTAGTTGGCACTGCTGGATCTTGGCCTATAACGGTACGTCAGCTTGAACGATAACTGTACTACAGATATGTTCCAACTATGGCGCTGGTATAACTAGGCCGCAAACCGGGGCAACTTTATGTAATGTTCACAGCTATGTGCAAACAGATAACTGAGGTTTTGAACTATTAATGTTCACTTTTGTTAGTGAATGCATGGGTCTCTCTCACCCGATCAACGTGGTTTGGCGGATTGCCACACTTTGTCTTTCTTGATGGATAGAGACAGTCCATGGGCCCTTAGGTTCAGACTTGGCGTTCCGCTGTCTCCTCCTGTCAGAGTGGCCTGCTTGGCAGCATGGCAAGCTGGGTGGTCGGAAAGTTCTTTTCTCTCTCTCTCTCTCTCCAATCCTGGCTCTGCAGCCTAGTTCAGTACTTGAGCCAACAGCACACCTCCTCCTTCATTCCCCCTCCGCACCCTCCTTCTACTGAGCAGGCACGCGTGCGCCCCCCACCCGGAACTGCAGAATCACATATATACGTGATTCTGCACAGAGCAGCTGCTCTATAGCAATAAAGCTGCTATAGGGCAGATGAAAGTACTCCTTGAGGTGAGAAGACACCCTCCCAGTGTCTGTTCACACACCCGACTCCTGTAGCAGCTAGTCTCCAGGGGAAGGGACTCTGAACTATAAATAGCCCCTACTAAAAAGGCTGTCAGAATGCTGGCTTCCAAGAAAATGTGGACCCATGGATAGAGGAGTCACCCTTCCCAAGGCTCTTCAAAACCTCTGCACTCCAGATCCCAATCCAGGAGTTACCTTCACAACCGTTTTCTCCACTCAGAACAGGCATGAGAGCACATCCATCTCAGTGTGGTGAGTTTTTTGGCTGTGCTGGGAGAACAGCCATGCTGTCCTCTAATGGCCAAGGCTTGTATTGACACCCCCCCCCCCCTACATTTTATTTATCTAATATTTATTATAAATACTGTACTTATATAGCACCATCAATGTGCGCATCGCTTTACATATATATTATAAATTCACATCAGTCCCTAACCCTCAAGGAGCTTACAATCTAAGGTCCCTAACTCACATTCATGCACATACTAGGGCCAATCTAGACAGGAACCAATTAACCTACCAGAATGTCTTTGGAGAGTGGGAGGAAAGCAGATTACCTACACAAGCACAAGGAGAACATGCAAACTAGGCATGTAGTGTCATGGTTGGGATTTGAACCGACAACCCTAGTGCTTCTAGGCAGAAGTAATAACCATTTAGCCAATGTGCTGCCCTGCATAGCCATTCACTGGGAATATCACTGTGCTGATGTTTCTCCACCCCTAGCTCTCTAAACCCCTTATGCAGAGGTCATGTGATCATATAAAAATAGAGTAATGTATATCCCTAACCTAGCCACATGTAGAATGCGTGCCAACTGCAGTGAGCCAGGGCTTTTTGTAGGGACTGCCCTCACTAAAGATGGCTGCAGAGTTCACCTAGGTGGTAGCATCTAATCGGACAGCAGCCCCCCCAATGGAACATATGGAGGCCTAAGAGGAATGGGTATTCCTCCTGTCCTTTGCTCTCCCTGCAAAGTGGATTCAATGCACCACCTGTGTAGGAAGGTCAACCTGCACTGCTTATAAGGTGAGGATTTACGTACTTTAAAGTGGCTCTAAATGCTCAAGGTTTTTTACCTTCATGCATTCAATGCATGAAGGTAAAAATCCTGTGTGCAGCAGCCCCCCCCAGCCCACCCTAATACTTACCTGAGCACCATCATGGTCCAGCAATATGTATGAGAGCCTTGAGTCTCCAGGGACTTTTGCTCTTCATTGGCTTAACAGCTGCAGGAGTCATTGACTCACAGCCAGTGAGAAAATAGGGAGAAAGAAGGGGTGGGGCCAAGCCGCAGCTCTGTGTGTGAATGGACACACAGAGAAGCGGTTCGGGAGTGAGTCTGCTTGGGTGCCCCTATAGCAAGCTGTTTACTGTGGTGGCACTTGGCAAAAGAGAGGGGCCAGGAGCATCAATGGGGGACCTCAGAAGAGGAGGATCAGGGCTGCTCTGTGCAAAACCACTGCACACAGCAGGTAAGTATGACATGGTTGTTATTTTAAAAAGAAAAACTTCAATCTCTTCCTGTCCGCCCATAGTCTATAGACAGCAGACGGGAAGCTTTGCCAATGCGGGCTAACATACATGTAAGTCAGCCCGAATCGGCGGCTCCTGCACGGCACACCCAGGAGCCTGATGATCAGCATGTCACCTGGAAACAGCGGATCACATTATCGCTGTGTCCGGGCGATCACATGGTGTTTTTTCCATGTGATTGCTGTGTCCAATCACAGTAATCACATAGTAAACACTGGAAAGTGAATCTTAAGATCGCTTCTCTCTGCTCTCAGAGCAACCCTGCAGCATGTGAGTGTACAGCAGCCTGTTAGGCTGCTTGTACACTCACAGACAGCTGTGCTAGCCAGCCACAGTGTCCCTGATCACTGCCCCTGTCTCCAGGGCCATCTAAAATAGCATCATGGGCCCCTGGGTAAAGTAATGCACTGGGGCCCTTCCCAGCCTGCCCCAATTTACACACCTATGCTCAAGAATTAAAGTATAAATAGTTGAAAGAGTTAAATTTATATTTATTAGTCATTTTAATAAAATAATGTTTAATCAATAAGAAAATGTTCCACAAATCAAAGCCTAATAATGGCCATTCTGTAAAAACGTAGTAAAAAAGCATGGCTGTCCCAGAAAATCCATGACAGTTGGTAAGTATGATGTAATGCAAAATTGTCATGGGGCCCCCATGTACCTTGGGCCCCTGGGCAGTGCCCAAGGGTGCCCATGCATTAGGACAGCCCTACCTGTCTCCCTGATTACTGCCCCAGTATATTCATAATACCCCATACCAATGCACTGATCACTGCTATACCCCATACCAATGCACTGATCACTGCTATACCCCATACCAATGCACTGATCACTGCTATACCCCATACCAATGCACTGATCACTGCTATATGCCATACCAGCACCCTGATAACTGCATACACCATATCAGTGCCCAGATCATCACCATGCCCCATAACAGCGTCCTGATCACTCTATATGCCATACCAGCACTCTGATCACTGCCATACCAGCATCCTGATCAGCACCAAACTCTATTCCAGTGTTCTGATCACCACCATGCCCCATACCAGCATCCGGATCAGCACCATATTCTATTGCAGCGTTCTGATCACCGCCATACCCCATACCAGCACCCTGATCACTGCCATACCCCATACCAGCATCCTGATCACTGCCATACACCACACCAGCGTTCTGATCACCGCCATACCCCATACCAGCATCCTGATCACCGCCATACACCATACCAGCACTCTGATCACTGCCATACCCCATACCAGCATCCTGATCACTGCCATACACCACACCAGCGTTCTGTTCACCGCCATACCCCATACCAGCATCCTGATCAGCACCATACTCTATTCCACCGTTTTGATCACCACCATACCCCATACCAGCGTCCTGATCACCACCATACCCCATACCAGCGTCCTGATCACTGACATACACCATACCAGCGTCCTGATCACCACCATACCCCATACCAGCATCTTGATCACTGCCATACCCCATACCAGCATCCTGATCCATATGCCATACCATACTCTACCAGCATCCTGATCAGCACCATACTCTATTCCACACCCCCCATTTTCCTGATCACTGCCATATACCAGCGTCCTCCTCACCCCATACCAGCATCCTGATTACTGCCATACGTCATACCAGCATCTGGCATTTTAGGGTCTCAACTGATCAATTTTTCAATATATATGCCAGAGTTTGTAGTATCTATAGCACGGGTGTCAAACTGGTGGCCCTCCAGCTGTTGCCAAACTACAAGTCCCATGAGGCGCTGCAAGACTGACAGTTACAAGCATGACTCCCAAAGGCAGAGGCATGATGGGACTTGTAGTTTCGCAACAGCTGGAGGGCCACCAGTTTAACACCCCTGCTCTATAGCTTTCACACAGACTAAATAATATACACTGTTTTGGGTTATTTTTACCCCAAAAATGTAGCAAAATACATTTTTGCCTAAATTTACAAAGAAAACGTATTTATTTGCAAAATTTCCTAACAAAACTAAGCAAAAAAAAAAATTTTTTTTTCAAAATGTTTGGTATTTTTTCATTTATATAGCAAAAAAAAAAAAAAAAAACAGTGGTGATCAAATACCCCCAATAGAAAGATCAACCTGTCTCACAAAAATGATAAAAATGTCATATGGGTATCGTGTTGCATGACTGAGTAATTGTCACTCAAAGTGTGATTGTGCTGAAAGTTGAAAATTGTCCTGGACTGGAAGGGGGTAAAAGTGTCCGGACTTGAAGTGGCTAATATCACTTTAAGACAACCGGATTGGAACTCCATTTTACTATAATTTCTCAATGAAGGCCATTGCCCATTTTTGTGGAAGAGCTGCTGAGATTCATCCATCAAGCCCAGCTAATGTTCCATGATTGATGGACAAAAGGTCCTAGTCCATATCCACCCTTTCTAGGACTGTACTGTATGGCAAGGCTGTGGCTGGGGTTCAGTTGTAAATATTTTTTGCAGCTAAACTCATTCCATCACACCATGAATTCCTACAGCTTCACCCCCTTTGAGCTTTAGCATTGGACACGTGGCCTCCCTACAGAGTCAATCCTAATTTTCTTGCACTGCATACATTCCCTCCAAAAATACACCGAGAATTATGCTAACAATATAAGGTATAGACAGTCACATAAATTATGGACGATCAGTGAAATTGTGCATTTCATTCTGAGAGCTCAGAGCTATTTCACAATAGACAAAAAGTTTAGAGGCGGCTGGTGCTGGGAGGCCTGAAATATGTCACCGCCAATGTGAAAAAAAAGCCTGGTTTGTGCATGTTTTACAGTTGAAAGAGACTGAACAACTATTAAGAGTCTGGAAATACAATGAAAGGCTGATTCTCCATACTGCCGGAATAAAGCAGCGAGGAGAGGAGGTTTTGAAGTTCCCTGAACATAACAGATATATGCTGAATATATTTCCAATCTTCTTATTGTGAAGATGGCAAGGTTACATTGTAAGTCATAGCGGGACCAATCCAGACCAAAGTGTTCACTCAATTAATTTCCCCTTTTTAAAGTGGAACTCAGAGTCAACATTGTTAGTAGGTAGAGTGTCAGGGCTCCCGGTAAGACCAGAGATGCGTGAACTGACACAGGGAAATGCAGGCTCAAGTATGGTGGAACAATATAATTTATTAAGGGTTATACACAACTATAACGCACAATATAACAAAACCAAACCTCCAACTGATAACGGAATGTACACAGATAAGAGCAGTCAGGGCTGGTGAGGTGGAGTGGTCAGGCGGGCCGGGTCAGGAATCATCGGGCAGACAAGACACAAAGGAGTAGGCAGAGCATAGTCAGATGGGCCGGGTCAGGAACAATCAGGCAGACAAGGTACCAAAGGAGTAGGCTGGAGAATGGTCAGGAATAGCCGAGGTCAGGACAGGCGGAGTTCATTCAGGGTCAGGATCAAGCAGAATCAGGAATCAGGCAGGAAGCAGACAGGATGCAGGTACAGGGGCTCATGGGAAACATACACCAAGACACTGACTGCAGGTCTAGCCATTCCTTAAATACACCTCCTGCAATCAGCCTCAGGTGATGGCTGACTGCAGGAGTGAGCTTCTGGTTGCTGAGAGCACCCGCTGGCCAGCCCTGGTATGAGCGAATCTGCCTTGGATCAGTCCATGAAGAGTTTTACTGGGTGTGATTATTTTGGGGGGGTTCTGTGTCTCACTGGCTGCAGATTTAACTGCTTCCCACTGCCTTCTGGAGGGTTCTAGAATTTAGTGGGCTGGGAGAGTACAATGGGCAGCCTGAATGTGGTCCCAGCCAATCCTTGGGAATAGGTGCCCAGTAAGTGGCTGGGGGGAGTGCATAAAGAGTTTGAGGCCTAGAGTAGAATGTTTCCTGTTCAGGAGGAGAAGACCCCAGACTAAAGGGCTGCTGCTCTACTGGTTTGTCCAGCTTTGCTTCTTCATTTAATCATCAAGGTCCCAGCTGTGTTAGCTGTGGAGGGGGGGTATTCTACTGAACTTTCCTGGAGCTGAGTGAAGGATTTCTTTCTGGGAATCTGGTCTGAAGAGTTTACAGGAGGAGGCTGTGTAGGTGTCAACCCTTCTATTCACATGGTTGAAGGTGTGAATTGTCAAATCCCAGGTTAGAGATGGTAAATCAGTGTTATATGTAGAAGACAGATGGCGTTGAAGGCTCCCACCCATATTCAGGGATGGTGCTCCAATATGATGTAGATGGCCTCTTTCACGTCAGTTGTGAATCAGTACCTTTCTCTATTCTGATTTGTCACCTCCAAATATCTCTAACACACTGTGAGCCCACCCATATACAGTGAGGGAACTGGATTATCCATTTCTACAATTTTTTTTCTCCTTTGACTCAGGGAAAAGATCAGGGGGAAAGACTGATTTATATTTCTGGAGGGAAATCTGAAAATCCTGGAGATTCACCCCAAACCCATGGCAGCAGCAAACCCACATCTTTACTGTGTACGTCTCATGTGCCATAAAAATTATTTTCTTTTATGGTATTTCTACAAATTATTGGCTGTTTGGTTCAAGGAAAAGACCAGAGGAAAGACGGATTTATATATTTGGACGTGAACCTGTAAGGTTTTTTTTTGCCAGTCCCAGAGATTCAATCCAAACCCATGGTAGTAGCCAACCCAAACCTCATCTCTACTCTGTATGTCTATCTGTATGTGCAATAAAAACTGTTTTCTTTTGTACTAATATTTTTGTATCAATTGTACATTGAATGACTTGCATGGGTGGCGGAACACTGTGACTTCTGATCCATCCTTCCTGTTTGTCCTAGTGACCATTGTTACCAGAAGACAAACTAATGGCAATTCCTAAATTTGTAATTGAGAAATTGCCCAAAGGGGGGTATTTGTTTCGGTGTCTGTTTTTTCATCATAAAGTGAATCTCCCCAATAGGCCACAGACAGAAAAAAAACAAAAAGTGATGATCCTTCACATGAACTGAATCAATGCCCAAGGGGAGATTAAAATTGTAAAAATAAAATAGGCAAAGCCTGCATCAATTCACAACCAATATGGACTGATTAAAGTAAATATGTGTTTAGAGAGTAGTTAAGTACAAAGACTACCAAAGTTGTCCTGCTCCTGTAGATGTTATTCCTCTGACCATCAATCGAATCCAATGCTTACAATGTTTTCCAGGTTAATAGCCTACAAAAAGGATGCAGCTAGTGAGGTCAGAAGAGAACCTGAAAACTCATTCAAGGTTAGGAACCAAAAAATGTACTGAAGCCAGAGGATAAAAATAAGATCCAGCTCACTAGGAGCCTGTGAATCTCTCTCGGTTCATGTTTCCTTTAAAACTAAAATGACAGTTTCTGTGCTGCTCAAACAGTATATTGCATAAGGCATGCTTTAATGTAACTGCTGCTTCATCTCACTATTGGCTCATTACGGTGACAGACAGTCTTAATGAATACTAGGGAGGTGTGGTAGACAAGAGGGGCAGATGGAATCATTGACTATTTAAAGTCGAAATTTGCATGACAGAGCATTCCAAGTTTTAAGGGTCCTGAGGCTCTAAAAAGAACTATAATGGTTGGATGATTGTTAACGTTATGACTATAACAAGTACAATTTATCTCTTTTCATGTGGACATGACAACACATATCCCCCGATGATTCCTGCAAAAGACAATCCAAGCTAATATTTCATTTTTACTTCAAGCAGCAATATATTTCATCAAAGGCTTGTTTAAGATTTTGTAAACAAAGTAAAATTATTGTTCACTCTGTCTCCAGAGCCATAAATTTCAAGCGGCCCGCTGGAGGAATCCAAACCAGCTGAAAATTTATGTCTGATACAGTGGCTTCATATTCAAGTCCATCCTTCGGGAGATGAATCTGTTGGCCATGCTTGAGCTTGCTTGGCTGCTTGGCCGCTGAGTCCACTTGACTAATTGTACATCTGAGGCTTTGGTTCTATTAGTCCTAGAAAGAATCTCATAGATTCTGATACCCATAATGTGCCAAGATCAAGTCTTCATGTCATGCAGAAATCATTCCATCATATCTTTTATCAAAGCAGCAACAGCCATATGAAACAAGACCCCCCCTTGTCCTGGAGAGCGACCACCTCAGTGTAAAGGGACTATCAACTAGGGAAACTTCCCTTGTCCTGGAGAGGTACCAATTCAGTGTAAAGGGAACAATCAGCCAGGAAAACCTTCCTTGTCCTGAAGAGCCACCACCTCAGTGTAAAAGGGGGACTGTCAGCTAGGAAAACCTCCCTTGTCCTGGAGAGGTACCAGCTCTGTGTAAACGGGGCCATCAGCCAGGAAAACCTTCCTTGTCCTGAAGAGCCACCACCTCAGTGTAAACGGGGCCATCAGCCAGGAAAACCTTCCTTGTCCTGAAGAGCCACCACCTCAGTGTAAACGGGGCCATCAGCCAGGAAAACCTCCCTTGTCCTGGAGAGTCACCACCTCAGTGTAAAGGTAAAGGGACCATCAGCCAGTAATACCTCTTTTGTCCTGGAGAGTCACCATCTCAGTGTAAAGGTAAAGAGGACCATCAACCAGTAAAACCTCTTTTGTCCTGGAGAGCCACCACCTCAATGTAAAGAGGACCATCAACAAGGGGAACCTCTCTTGTCCTGGAGAGCCACCAGCTCAGAGTAAACAGAA